TTTGTAGTATGTTGATAGAATTTGGTTCCAAGTATATATTCCAGCAGCTGTTGGTACGGTGTGGTTTAACAATAGGTACGCATGCGCACAAACATACATACATACATACATACATGCATGCATGCATGCATGCATGCATGCATACATACATACACATATTCCCCACACAGTGCTTGCATTTAGGGCACCTGGCTTCTCTTCTGAGAACCTGGGCCCGACGGTCGGTTTGGCGGCGATGGGGCCACCGTCGCCGCCCCGTCGCAACCTCGACGCCGCCCGTCGTCTGGGCCTGTCTGGCGGTCTGGCGGGTATGTCGTCGCCGACGCCGCCACGTCGCCGCCTCCTTGTCGCCCCGTCGCCGCCTAGATTTTTTGTATGATAAAAGTGAATGTTTTTGCCGCCGTCCCCCCTCCGGATTTAACGGCCCGTTTCCTTATATTGCAATTTGCTCATGCTTCTGCCTCATCGTCCGTCCTAATTTTGATTGCGTACCATCCCAGGGAGTCCCTGATCCACCCCCTCAGTCTTTTCGCAAAACCGAAAAGTACTATGCGCGCGCACCCGTTTGTCAAACATCTCCAGTTTCCAAGAATCACTGACACAAGAAAATCGAAACGCACCGTACACGCGTGCGTCGTCACGCGGGCATGCAAGACTGCATCAGCAGTTCTAGGTGTCGTAAAGATTTCAGAAGGTTTCGCAACAGGAGTGTTCAAACAAGCATGCGCCCGTGCTCTTGCGAATTCTTGCGAAAACCATCGTCTGTCGTCAACATGTTCATCACCAGCTACCAAACGCGCCTTTCGCGCGCGAATGTCGAAATCGTTCGAATACCTTTTGCGCGCGTGCTGTTGCAATAATTCCCTGCAGTGCATCTTACGAAGTGCACGCGCGCGCGCCGTCGCGCGCGCATGCCAGTGCCACTTAAAACAGATCTATGGAAACTGGGAGGATATATCATCACCGCATCCTTCAAAAACCGTAGTTCCCGAAAGGATTGCAAAGTCGAGTGCCCCGAAGCATATAAGCAAGTAAATGGTTGTGCACCCACAGGTTTCAAACCATGTTTGCGCGGTGTGTTTTTGTTGTTGTTGTTGTTGTTGTTGTTGTTGTTGTTGTTGTTGTTGTTGTTGTTGTTGTTGTTGTTTGTGTATGTGTGTGTGTGTGTGGTTTTTCTCTGTATACTTATATACACACATATGAAATAAAATGAAACTTAAACAAACATTGCTTGTTCATATAAATCACCAACAATGAAGCAAACATGATTGCTGTGAAAAAGCAGAGTTGTCAGCTTTTTCGTCACATGCGACCACTCGGGCCTTTCGCGTTGCATGTTGAGATGATTCGAGCGCCCTTGCGCGCCCGGGGCGGTCGCGATCCATGTCGCATAATACCATGCGGGCCACTCGCTCGCGTCGGCCGCGCGCGCATGTCGAACTCATGCTAAAACCTTCATCACCGGCGCGGGGACTCTGTCATCGCCATTGTCGTGATCAGCATCGGCGCCGTCATTGGCCTTGCCGTCGTCATCGTACTCATCGTCGCCATTACCGTTATTATCATCATCGTGTCTACCGTTGGCGACGTCCGCGCCCGCCCGCATCACCGACTCGCACTGGAATGCCCGCTGGGAAGTGCCCAGCGGTCAGCGCCACCGTGGCCGCGTCGGTCGCGCCAAACTAGCTAGCCGCTGCGCGCGCGAGCATGCGCGGGCTAGCGCGGCCCCAGCGAGGCACCAGCCAACACCAAGCACTCATTGCAATCGCCGCCGTATGGGTTTCGAAAACCAAGTTGCGGTTGGGTGGGTGGGATGATCTCGCGAGCAGTGGAGTTGCCAGCTCCAAGTTTTTCGGAAATATTTGCGCCGCATAGATTGCACCGCGTGCGTTGCGCCACATCGATAGCACCACGTATATCGCACCACGTAGTTTGCAGCGCGTAGGTTGCCCCGCATAGATTCACCACTCTAAGAAAGTACGAGGACTCCCCCCCCCGGAATTAATTGGTCACCTTTTCCTCCGTAGTGTTGTCGTATATGATTATGCATTTCATTTGATCCTAAATTTGCGTTCGTACAACCCCAGGCAGTCGGTCATCGACCACCCCATTCATTGTCTGTTAAAACACGATGCGCGCGCTCTCGGCCATCACAAGTCATCAGTCTTTTCAAGGATCTTGCGCAACAGAAAACAGGACGCAGTGCATACGCGCGCGCGACAACTTGGTTTCGAGCGGGTTCCAACATCGAGTGTCCCGTACCATTTATAAGCATGGTTTCGCAACGTGATTCCCACCCCCAAAAAACATGCGCTCGCGCTCCTTCGAATTTGGAAGCCAACCGAATGTTTGTTTGCAAACAGTTTTTTCACCACATGCTACCAAACGTGCCTTTCGGTTGCGCATGCTGAACTCATTCGAACGCTCTTGCGCGCGTGCTGTCGCGCAAATCCTTTGCACACCATGGGACGCAGTGCCCGCGCGTCGTCGCGCATGCATG